TTAAACCTTATTTTCAATAAGCAATCCTGAAAAATATTTGGGGGTGCTTAACTTTTTTCCAGGTGTATATTTATCTGGGGTCCACGAGGACCCCTAACTATCATTGACTATCACTACACATGCAGTCTGTCCTATAGCATATAAAACAAATTTCTAAATGTATATTTCACTATATAGGCTGTTATAGAGGATAATAACATAATATTTTGGGACAACATGGGACCTATTGGTTCATTTTGGCTGTTCCATCCTCAAAATTAAATTAAAATGATTAAAAAAAACTAAAACTCAGCCCTTTTTCATTCATATACTTATCAAGCTTTTTATTAAACTCACTTAAATTTACTGCCTCTACAACATCTGAAGGCAACCCTATTCCAAAGGCCAATCACCCTGTTTGAAAAATAAAACTGTCTTGGCTGAAGATGACTGCTACCTTGGCAAAATTTATATTTGTTTCCCCTTGTCCCAGTATTCTCATTGTTATATATAAAAAGATGATACATCAACACTATAAATTCCTTTTACAGTCTTAAACACCTCAATCAGATCCCCCCCTAACTTTTCTTTTTTCAAGAGAAAACACTTTGAAAGATTTCAGCCTCTTTTCATATGACAACCCCCTCATCACAGGCACTATTCTAGTAACCCTTTCCAACAATTCAATGTCCTTTCTAAGATAAGGAGCCCAAGACGGAACACAATATTCCAAATGAGGCCTAACTAGTGACCTGTACAATGAATGTATAACCTATTTAGACTTGTATTCAATATTTCTATGGATACAACCAAAAATCCTATTTGCCCTACCACTAGCAACAGCACATTGCTTGGATGGCTTTAGAGACTGATCGACTATTACACCAAGATCCCTTTCCTTCATAACACTATTAAGGTTATTCCCATCCAAATTTAATTTGAATTATAAGTATTGATAACCCACGTGCATTATCTTGCATTTATTATAATTAAAACCCATCTGCCATTTATTCACCCAACTCACTACATGATCTAAATCCTTTTGTAAAGCAGCAGCATTTTCCGTACAGCCAGCAACATCCAAGACCTTAATATCATTAATAAATTTAAGTAATTTATTGACCATTCCTTATTCTGTGTCATTGATGTGATTCAAAAAGAGCAAAGGTCCTAAGACTGAGCCCTGAGGTACCCCACTTGTGAAATTAATCCAATTTGACTGAACTCCATTTATAACAACCCTCTGCTTTCTTCCATCCAGCCACTCTTCTATCCAATTTGCTAACGTATCCCTCACACCTATAAAGATAATTTTTTTACAAGCCTTTTATGGGCATCTTGTCAAATGCTTTCTGAAAATCCAGATACACTAAATCTAAACCCTTACCCTCAACTACATAAGCAGCAACCTTTTCAAAGAAAGTCTAAAGATTTTTAAGGCAAGATTTTCCCTTAGTGAAACCATGTTGACTATCCAATAAAATTCTAAACTTTGTTAATTGACTTTGCAAAGCATCTTTTATCAGACTTTTCAAAACTTTTCCCACAACTGGTGTAAGACTAATAGGCCTATAATTACTAGGACAATTTTTATCATCTCCCTTGAAAAGAAGAATAATATTAATCAACTTCCAATACTCTGGTACCTACCCACTATTCAAGAACTGACAAAAAATAGTAGTAAGTGGTTTACATATCCAATCTTTAACCTCTTTCAAAACTCTTGGGGAAATATTGTCTGGCTCAGGAACTTTATCATTCTTTACCCTTCCCAATTTTTTGTTAACAAGCTCAGGATTAATGTGATGATCTTATTTCCATCTATCAACTGTTCAAGATGAGCAATATTGCTTTAATTTTCCTGAAGAAAAAGCAGAATTTAATAGCCCATCAATCTCATAATCATTAGATACAAGCCTTCCTTTATCATCCCCCCCAAACGTCCTACCCCCATCCTAACATTTTTGTTTCCCTTAATGTATTTAAAGAAATCCTTACTGTTAATTTTTACATTTACAGCCAACATTTTTCCTACAACCTTTTGACATTCTAAATTCCTGTTTGACCAACTTTCTTGACTTTCTATTTCTATAATCTTCTAAATCTGCAATCATACCAGTCAATTTTAATTTCTTAAATTAATGTTTTTCTTCAATTTTATCCCTTATACCCTCTGTTAGTCAACCTGGATTTTAATTGCAACCACCCTTTTCTTTATATAAAGAATATGCTTATTTGAATATTTAAAAATTTAACTTTGAAAATTTTCCACATTTGGTCAATGTCTCCAAATAACTTAGCTGCCCAATTTAAAACAGACAGTTCTTGTCACATCCCTCCAAAAATTTGCCCTTTCAAAAATCGTAACAAAAATATTATTTCTGATCCTCATTTGTAACAAAACATTGCACCTTATAGAGCAATGCTAAAAAATACAACAAACACTTAAGAGATGGAAAGTGATTTTTGAGCAAATGCAGAAGCTAGTATAAAAAAAGAACAAGTAAAATCATATGCATATTCAAATACTTAAAAGAATATCACATTTTTGTTTTAAGTATCAGGTTTATCTATATTCACCATATATCAGTACAAAACACATTAAAAAAATGTGGCTAAGGCAGAAAATAAGCAAAAGTAAAAATATATATACATAACATTTTTTTTTTTTACTTCATTGTTTTACATAGTACTCTTTTCACTTTTTTAACTTGGTGAGCCACCACCATGACCCTTTATATTTCTGTACACTACTTGAAAATATATTCCGAGAAAAACTACATTTCACTAGCATTGGGAATTACTAAAGATTTTATGGTACTGTTTTATAAATATCAATCAGTGTCCAAAAATACACACATATACGAAGTTAGTAGTAGTAATAGTAATAAAAGAGGACCTGAATGATGTGGATAAATGATCAAACCATTGGAACAACAACAATAATGCCCAAAAGTACAATGTAATTCATAGTACAATTTCTCTGGAACTCTGCACTTCTTAAAACTAAAAAACCATTATTAGCTTATGCACCAAACTGTACTCTGCTTCTTCATGTTTATTTATGCTGTAGTTCACTAAAATTTCTGGAAGTAGTTAACAAATAAACAAAATCATTAGTCTTGTATGTTTAATGTAAAAAACACGTAATACTAAACAGTCCAATATATGACATTTAAATTGCAAATTAAAATTTTCTTACTTTAATGCTCAAATTATAAACTATAAGTTAAATTATGTAAATCTTTTTATTCAGAATGATGTATAAGGACTTACCTCTACAAGTCGACTACCTTGTCTTAATCCAGCTTGCCAAGCAAATCCATAGCTCTCAACATCAGTCACAATTCCTTCATACTGTACATGGAATCCTAACTGTCCAAGACTGTTTCGACGGAGAATCAGTTCCTGTGTCTGTTAGCAAAAAATGTTTAAGTCAAGTCTTAATTTTAATATGAGGAAAATACAAATAAGATACATAATATTAGAATCATCTTTCTACTATAATAAACAAAAAAAGACCCTTTATTACAGAAACAAAACCATTTTGTCACTTTGATGAATTTATCCAATTTTGTTTGAAACATTTTTTTTTTAGACTTAAGTAAAGAATTCTGCAAATACTGAAAGGATATTTACAATACACAGCACAGTTTGCATATCTACACTATTTAACACTTATTTTGATTACTAGTTACAGCTTTTAAAGTAAGAAAATTTGTTTTAGAAGTCAACATTGAAATTTCTCCACAAAATGAGCTTAACACATTCATGACATTGTGCACCACCAGTGGTACATATGCATGTTTTCTGTTGGACATCGTGACCCACCCGTGGTACACAGCACCCATAATATATAACTGTAACTCATATCTTCAAAGTCCTACATGAAGCATTAATTTTATACGGATGGGTATAATAAAGCCACGCCTTCCTTCTATCATGTACCACTGGTGCAGCACAGATGCCATGTTGAAAGATCACTTTTTATTTTAAAATTACATCTGGAGATTGGCATTACAATTTTTATTGTGAGTAAATGAAACAAAAAACACTAATTGAGACTTCTTTCATAAATAAGATAACTGTAATATAATAAGGATAGAACTATTATCATCCACAGTAGGGATTATTTTACCTGATGCTCCTTTTTGATGACCATAAAATTGTGAAATATTCATAATTCTTCTTAAAAAAAAAGGGAAGATTAGGTTGAAAAAAAAATGAAAAAATATTAAATATTATGATGATTTCATTATTATTACTTAAATCATAGTGTGCACCACCAGTGGTACATGACAGCCAAAGCTTAAATGGGTAAAGACAGGACATTATGTACCATCAGTGGTGCACTCAAGAGAAAGTTCCCAATGCAGTCATTCTGTCATAAAACATAACATAAAGCCATAAAATTAGCTGTATCTAAGGCAGAATTCACAATGAGGCCTTATGTTCCTATTGCAAAATTAGAGAAATCACTTACGCCACAAACGTGTTAACCTATGTAGCAACCTTGCACATTTGACTACCCCTGAAGATTAAAATTTACTTGCTTCATTGATAAAGAAAAGAACATACTTTAGAGGCTTAACTATCATATGAAATCTAAATAGAAAGTTAAAAAACTCTGCCTGTCAGTACAATCCAAAAACACTATAGAGAAAATTATAATCAACCTTGCACACTTTCAACTCAAACCACAGCTCTAAATAAAGGTCTTGACTACACAATGACTCCTCCCACTATTCCAGTGTTATATATTTAAAAACCAGCCTTGAAGTCCTCTGCAGGAAAGTAATAACAGAATCAAATCTCAAATTCAATCAACAACAACTAATCCTGAGTCCAAGACCACAAGAAGAGTCCCTATCAAATTTATCAAAGGAAAATGAAGAATCACAAAAATATTCAACATCCCAAAAAAACAACAGCAACTTAATAAGTAATTTCCATACCAAAGCAAAAGGAAGTTCTTGATGAATTTAGTGAAAAAAACTTCAAACATACAAAACAAAATGGGGCCTATAAAATAAAATTTGACATCAGTAGAAAGAAAGGCCTAAAACTTCTTATGAACAATGAACACTGTCATTCAAAGAGCCAATAAATAAAATTCTATCATGACTTTGCCAACCAAACATTATCATTTCTTAATGGTAAATACATTTAATGATATGTTTAAGTTTCCTCAGTCAAATACTGACTTTAACCCAACAAACAACAAAACATTAAGTAAACTACTCAAAACATTAGTAAAAGAAAAACTATTACTTTTAAACTTAATTTTTTGCATACAAACTAAACACGAACACCAAAAATCTACAGTTTACCAAAAGTCCACAAAAAACCAAACTTATGCCCAATTATGTCTTCTTATAATTTTTTTAAACTACAACCTTGGTAAATATTTTAAATGAATTTTGGAACCTTATGTTTCCAAAATAAGCACCCAATTAAAACAACATTTTACACCCTCTACAACACTTACATAGGTTAGACAATAATGTCATTACGTCTAGCTTTGATGTCATAAACCTATTCTCTCAAACCCCTTGTCATGAGGCAATACAATTTACTGCAGAAATTATTTCACAAGAGAAACTTTATTAATGAAATCAAACAATTCCACCATTAACAAATACTGACACACATATCTACATGTCTTTGATCATTATTTCCCCAGACATTCCTAATCAGATAACTCAGATAACATATTCCATATTTTTTTATATTTATTCACTTTTTGTTGTATTTTTTGTTCACCCATAAATAAACTGTCAATTCAAGCTGATTGATATGCACCTGCATAAGCAACCATTATCAATTCTAAAATTTAAATACATTGTTAGATTGTTAATTTGAATACGAAAAACTTCTTTATCATTAAAAACTTGTGTATGTGAGAATGATCGCACCAGTGACCAAAACATTGTACCTGTTCTAAAAACAAATCTTCCTTACTCTAAAAACTATAACTTGTAACAAAATAGTCCTTATAATCTGTAAGTAAACTCCAAACGAAACTGTTTAACACTATTTAACACATATCTACAGCTCAGCATTTTTGTACAAATATATTTTAATCCATGGAATCCAGAATTAGTATCAGACATATTTCTATGTTTACACTTCAGATTCTAACAGCTTTATCTGAATGCTCCACTGTAAACTCAGTAACAATTGTAATTTTTACAATATATCTGTTTATCCATCCTTTAGCTTTGGTAATAGCCAAAATTGTATGCAAGTATACACTATATTTATGAACTGGAGAAATAACATCCAAATGTTCATACTATATGATTTTTGATCACTATGTCTATAATTTATCATCATCAGCAGCAACATCTGCATGTCTACACTTTGGGATTAGTGCTAACTATACTGCATGTCTATACATTAACACCAGTAGCAGCAACTTCTGTATATCTCCACTTTGGGATTAGTGCTAACTATACTGCATGTCTACACATTAACACCAGTAGCAGCAACTTCTGTATATCTCCACTTTGGGATTAGTGCTAACTATACTGCATGTCTACACATTAACACCATTAGCAGCAACTTCTGTATATCTACACTTTGGGATTAGTGCTAACTATACTGCATGTCTATACATTAACACCAGTAGCAGCAACTTCTGTATATCTCCACTTTGGGATTAGTGCTAACTATACTGCATGTCTACACATTAACACCAGTAGCAGCAACTTCTGTATATCTCCACTATCGGATTAGTGCTAACTACACTGCATGTCTACACATTAACACCAGTAGCAGCAACTTCTGTATATCTCCACTATCGGATTAGTGAAACTATACTGCATGTCTACACATTAACACCAGTAGCAGCAACTTCTGTATATCTCCACTATCGGATTAGTGAAACTATACTGCATGTCTACACATTAACATCAGTAGCTGCAACTTCTGTATATCTCCATTTTAGCATCAGGAGCAGAAACATCGGTATGTTTGTACTTTAGTATCAGAAGCAGAAATATCTTTATGTCTCCATTTTAACATCAGAAGCAGCAATATCTATATTTCCCACTTTAGCATCAACAGTGGTCATATTTTGGCATTAGCAGCAGTAATATCTATATGTTTACATTTCGGCAACAGCAGAAGCCATATTTGAGGTTTAGACTTTATAACCATGATTAGCAACATGTGGATATTTCCACTTTAGAATCAACAGTGGTCATATTTTATATCTACATTTTAACAGCAGGAGCAGCCATATCTGATCAGCATGCTCACTGCCACATTGTATTCCTACAGTTTTGGATTAGTACAAGTCACATCTAAAAGGCTTCACTTCAAAAGTAACATAAGATATTTCATTAACCATAGAAAAATTCCCAGGTTTGTTCCTAAGTCTTCTAAACTTCCCATTAGATTCCACTGTTCTTCCTAGTTGCAGATTATGTTTCATGAAAATGTGACAAACCTAATTACTTCTCAAGCCACCATATTCACTCTACTTTGATGTAAGTAACTAATAATCAGTTCTATCTAATGGTATTAAACTATTTTCAAAGCTTAGCTTCATTTGTAGTTGTTCAAATCACATGCTGTGGAGACAACAGGCTGTACTAATAAAATCAGTGAATGAAAAATCACATGAGAGACAATACATGGATAAATATATTTTCTCAAGTGATGATAGTTTCCTAGCAAATATAAACCTTTGCTATGAGATGGGCGGAAAAATTATACAAACGTTTAAAAGCGTGTTGTTTATAAGCAAGGCTCCTTGAAGCTGAGCAGAATAACAAGTTTTAACACTTTTATATTTTTCTGTTTGAATTAGACTAAAATGTTACAAAATGTCATTTCTAATGTATTTTTGAGTTAAAAATTATTGAAGTGTTAGAATTATTTTTATGTAAGTTTGATATACAGGTGTACATTCAACACCTGAACAGTGCTCACAAATCATAATAAGGTTAAACCATAAAATATCTTTTATGCCAGAATATCTAAATTTACTTGCCTCACATCCTTGGGTCACACAAGCCAGTCGACTCACTATCTCTTGAATTTCATCTACATCAGGGTCTTTGGTGCTTAAAACTAAACATTCACCTTGATGATAAAAAATTTTCAAACTGGAAAAAAAAATGTTTTCACATCAGAAAAATGTTGGTGCTTTTCACCACATAAAACTTGAAATGTAGCACTAAAAACAGTGTACCTCAAAAGCTTTAAAATGACACAGATCTAGGACCTCAATGTTTTTCTTAAGTTACATACATACTATATTATACCTATTACATTATAACAATATTATCATTGCATGTTGTTGTTGTTTTTTTAATTCTCTTCAAACGTCTTCAAAATTATTCATCTAAACCTCCATACAAAAATTTGAAGAAAAATAATTTTTCATCTTAAATAACTTTTCTTTTTATAATCATAACACAAACTAAGGAATAGTTAGAATACATATACTAGTATACTTAATTTGTCAAAATATGATAGAAAATGTAATAGTTTGGAATTTTATTCAACTTAATCATTCACTGCAATAAAGGATGAAGGGGAAATGAACTGAAGAAGACAAGTTTTCAACAAGCAGGCTGAGGAGCATATAAATAAGAGGAGTATTTTAAACAAGTTTTTTGTTACGACAATCTTCTAATTCCTTTGAAATTCTTTTTAAAGAAAAACAATTTAATGCATCTGTATCATCTACACTTACTATTACAACACCTTTATTTTGAATATATATAAGTATATATTTATTTACTAGCATTGAACCTAACTGATAAACATGACATAAATGCTACGAGTTTCTCATTAACATGCTTGTCAATATATTTTAGTTCAAAATAAAAATTAAAGATCCAAAATGATACATGGTTACTAGCTTTCTATACCTGCTGGTATGTGAAGACCAGCCAATCACAGAACTACACGGACACGTAAATATGACTTCCCTACTATTTTCTTCAATAAGAACTATTGTATCAATAGAAATGCCAAGAAGACAGTCATCTATCATTCGAGATTGTCCATGATCTTCAACCTAGAGAAAATAAGAAAAAAAACTTTAACTCATTGTTACTTAAAACCAAACACATAAAACTGGAATTTTATCATACAGTTTTCTTATTAAAAACCCATACTGGACAAATCAAAATGATGTAATGGAAATTATGTTCAGATTTACCATGATATAGTATGACATCTATTGCCCAATATTTAATTTTTTTAAGTGTATTAAATTATAAGAGAAAAATAACAGAATGTATTAATTCATATAATTGCCTGTTACTACTTATTATTTACAAATACCATACTCTCAAATATTGATATTTGAAGTACAGTCAAATTATATATACTTAACAGCCTACTTAGATTTGATTTCTTTTTGTCACAGTGTATAAACAAATCTAGGAAAATTTTTCTCTCTCATACAGCAATAACTTTTTTGATATACTCACAACAAGGGATTTTTTTTTTGTAAAGCATTCTCATCCAATTATATATGTGCCACAGGGACTTGTATACACAATAAGCAGAAACAAACTGTTAACAATAACAGTTTGTGGAACTCAAAGTAGAGGAATGTTTATAAATACTAACTGTGAAACATCTTTTATGAAAGAATCAACCTCTAAAAGAAATAATAACACAAAAAAGAGCATTCCCTTTCACTGTTTTGTCTCCTACAAACTTTTTAAATCTATTATGTTCCGATAGTCTGAAATTTTCCAAGATTAGATTACTTGCATACATAGATGTGCTTATAATAAACAACTGTATTTCATATGAAATGTATTGAGAAAGAAAAGCTGTCATAATGTTTACCTTGCAACAGATAAGCATCTAATTACTGCACCTTATTTTTCAGAGACTTGAAATTGTCATTAAAAAAACATTGTTTAAAACATATTCATCCAATACTATACCTTAACAAAAGAAACACTGCATTAAGTTTTACTGATAACACAGATAATTACTACATCAATTCAAGTGTTAAAAAATAATGAAATTTAGTAACCCTCTTCAACATATACCATTTGTTCATAATTTGCCAATAACATAATTAAAAACACATGTATTTTACATTCACAGGAAAATGATTTACAATACACTTATTTTGATAATCACTAAACTGTTTATCAGTGTTGTTTTAAGCAACAGCAAAAAACTGTGGAAAGGAAGTGAAGCAATGTGTCAGGGCCAAATTGAAACTGTCACACATGGTTGCACAAACTTAATGAGTTGGAACAACATATGCTTTATGTTCTGGAAAGTAGAGAAACCTTGAGAAACTCTTCTGTAACACCAGTCCTAACCCTGAACATAATTATTTCACCTACTGATTTGAAATTAAATATTTACAAGTAGACTGAAGGTTAGAAGTCATCATAAAGATATAGCCACAGACTCCAAAGAAATAAATTTTATTCATTTCCAGTTTTTTGGCTTTGAGACATTTAGCCCTCAAAAAAAAAAAGGTCAAGGCAGAAGAAAAGTACTAGAATCTGGAGTTTGTGATCATATTAATGTGATATCCTAATTAAAAGTATTATTTTAAAATTAAGCAAGAAAGATATACATCTGTCTGAGAGTCACTTGCAAGTAAAAATTCTTCAGAATGGAATTTCAGGTACCATTTTCTGTATTCTGTCTTACCAGTATTTTATTATACCTATGCATTCCAGATGGGAAAGAAATGGAAAGTATTATAGATAATTCAAGTTATCAGGAAGAATATACATATATTGTACGTTATTAAAGAGCTGAATTGGGATTCCTCTTAATAAAAGGATGTTAAAGCACAATCATGCAACTAATAGAACTTGTAATGAGAACTTTTGTTTAGACTACTGTTATTTACTCAGGAGTACCTAAACTTATATTTGAGTTTATGTACAACAACTCAGTAGTTATAATAGTTTATTTTATTTTTATATATATACACAAGTGGGTATATACCTATGCACATATAATTTGAAAAAAAATTCTGTTTCATACTTGAGTTGTCCATTAGTTTTACACACACACATACATGCGCTATTTACAACTTAAATGGAAATAAATCTGGTTCCTTGATTTACAAGATGTGAATTATTTTTTCAAACAGGTTACAACAATTTAACAAAGAGTGTGTGTGTGTATCTATAACTTGGAAAAAAGTATCTGGTTTTAGTAAATGCAATTACTATATTATATAGATAGCTAGAAAGATAGTGATATGGATATACACAGGTGTATTCACCAACATGTTTGTGATAACTTCTGAAATAAACAACGAAAGACACCACTTGAGAATGCTACAGTCATTAAGCGTTTAATTTATTTGTGCAATATTTAGTGCCATATTCTTAATCATATGTAATGTAATTACTGTTAATGTTTTTATTTCTTTGAACACTCTGTACTGACTGGATAATAAATTATAATGATTCTATTCCTACGCTTTGTTTTTAGTCAGAGTATCAGTATTACTGTAGCCTCAAATTTCATAAAATTTCTTAAATCCACTAGACATCACAAACCTCTGACAACTTGAAGAACAGTAGCTTGAATGAATATTTTTGAAAGGATGCTTCGGAAAAACTTAATCAATAACATTGAATGAGTACTAACAATTTTTATTCTTAATGTCAACATTAAACACAAAAAGATAGAAAAACATATGACACTATAAATTTATATTAATTTGTGAGTATCTGGGAAAACAAATCTGATGGTGTAGAACAACAAAAACATTTACTAGATAAGTACATTAACCATATCAATTTGCTTGATGTAGTATATTACCTTCAGAAATAATGTTTATCAAATAAAGAATGTAGAACAAATTGCACCTTTAAATATTCCTTACAGTCTAATACATACAATTTTTGTAACAAATACATATGAAAAAACTTTTTTTTTTCAAAGAATGAAAATTAACTTGCAGGAACTACACCATTTTAGCTACCTAAAAGAGCTGCAAAAATTGCCCCTGGAATGTAAATATCATGAACATGTAGCATTCATCAATACATCATGAAATCATACCCTGCAGACAACTGTTATGAATTATCTGTAGTACTCAGTTGTAGATGTTATAAGATCTCATCTTGACCATAATGGTCAGAAATAGATTGCAATAACTCATCATATAGATCAAGACATACTTTGAACATGCCAATCCTGTGTGGGTTAAAGTTGTTACTTGAACAATGCCACAAAAATTGTAGTTTCAACATAACTGTAAAAAATCCAGACACTGCACCTTACAAATAATTTTCATAAATGATATGTAATATTCACTCATACATGCTTGAGATCACACTCTAAATTTAACTGTCAGGAATGATTTTTAATACTAATGCACACCACGTGATTGCACTCTCAATGTAACTGTCAAGAATGATATTTAATACTCACCTGAACATGCCATGATATTGCACCTTGAATATAACTATCAGGAATGAATCTTAATCGAATACGCTCCTTCTTCTTTCCACCAAATGACAAAATAGCTGTGAAGAAGAAATTAATTCATTTCTAAGTCCTTTATGTCACGATAATAATAATAATGTTAGCATACATATTAATTAAATAATTAATATTATAGAGCAGTAGTTCTCAAACTTTAGTAACCTAAGGATCCCTTTTAATTGAAAAATGTTTTCATGGACCCCCAAACCTATCTATCTATGCATTTTTGTTTTGGAAAAAAAAATTCCATGTACAAGAAAAGCTGTATTTTAAAATTAAATGTTTTAATTCATAAGTTTAATTTTATGAAAAATATTTTTTATTCTGTAAATCATGTTTTTTAAAAATATTTTTATGAAATTTTGGACATGATTTGTGGGCACCTGAAGTACCTTCACGGATCAGTGTGAATCTATGATCCCCAGTTTCGAAAATGCTGTTATAGAGTACTGAAATACTATTCAATACAACCATAAATAAATAAACCCAAATATCATAACCATAATAAAAAAGTCATTATTTTTAACATAACAGTCAATTTCTACAATAATATGTAATAAAAGCTAGTTCTATTTGTATAATTTAAGTATTTCCAACTGTGTAATAAAAGGAAATAATTTTGTATATTTTTTCAACTAGCATTTGTGGCTAAAGTTGGGATCTAATATTAAAACAAAGAACTACATGCTGCTATGAAATTAGTTTAAAAATGTAAAAGAAAAATGGATACAGAATAAAGACAAATTATAGCTTGAAAAGTTTTTTTGGTGTACAAAACTTTAAGATAGCTTTTATATGCAGAAACATCTGTTAGCTGAGTTCTTGCACAGATCTTAAAATATAACGTTGATAAACGGAAACATCGGCACATGTAGATACGTAGATCTTGAAAGTCGAGTTGTTTAAAACTTGAAAATAACATTGATAACTGGACCAATTGTTGGTTGAGATGTTGCAAAGGAAATATCTGCTGAAGTTTTTCACCAGACACTAATCATAGCAGAACCATCTGGAAAATGATCTACATTTTCAAGATCTACATATCTACATGTGCTGATGTTTCCATTTATCAAAGTTATATTTTAAGATCTGTGCAAGAACTCAGCTAACAGATGTTTCCGCATATAAAATCTATCTTGAAATTATAGCAGAAAAGAAAAGTACCTCTTTTCAGTGTCTGAAGTTAAGACAAAAATTTGATTTTAGCTGAAGCTCAACAATAACATACTTATTACTATGAATGAACTGAAGACAAAATTGCAAAGTTAAAAATCTTAACACAAATATACATGTAATTGGAGTTATGATAACAGTATTATAAATACAACAAAACTTTGATTTAATAAACAAAACAGAGAAACACTTAGTTAACATATACTTTTTAGTACATTGCTTACAATAAGATAACATGCATCAAACTTACAAAATTTTGGTCCTGAATCAACAGTTGTGGTTGTGATATAATTGGCTGCTAAATCTTTCAGGTATTCATGCCTTGTTCTTTGTGCCATTGTGGCAAATTTCTCTGAACGGTGGGCAGCATTTTCAGCATTTATCACTGACAAATTGAATACAAAATGTTTATACCACAAAAAACCAAAAAGACATTAAACAAGTAACTTTATAGGTCAGTTTAAAATCTAACTACTCATGTAAATAAACATTAGTTACTCCATATATACAATACTGAATAGCAAAACAAATGATGGGCACCTCCATTGTAACCAAGAAACATATCCAAATTTAACAAAGTACATTATTAGGTTCCAGTAAACAACATTTATCCATCTAGTCTTAAACAGTTGATATTTTAGCTTAACATGTTCTTTGGTTTTCTGAGAGTAAAATACAGGTTTTCATTTCAAAACAGCTAACTGACCATGTTTCTAATTCATTTAGAAATTTCAAAATTTTATTCAAAATCATTTAATTTTCTAATAAACAAGAGATAATAACAGACAGAATTTAAAAGGAGTACAAGATTAAAATAATTGTAGAATAAAACTTTATTAAGAACAGGGATCAGCTCTAAAAAGACTGTGTTTCAGTGTTCTTAAGATACAATCTTCAGCAGTGCCATATAAATTCATTTAAAGATAATAATGTATATTTTTAGATGCATCTCATAACATCAATTGCAAGTGAGATAAGATGGTACCTTTTGCAAGCAAGAAATCAGCAAATGCTTTCGACTTAGGATAGGTTCCTCCTTCTGGTATGGGAGGTCCAAAAACAGGAACGTCTTTAGACCGACTGACAGCCACACTTGAGAGAACAGTAGAAAGTGTTCATTATTGGGGAGGTTTAAAATTCAAAAGAAGATATAAGCATCAATATAATGCACAAGGCTTGACCATTTAATAATAAATAAACTTAGTATTCCAAAAATTGTTAAATTTCAAAGTCTAAATTCAAGGGAGGTCCAATTTAATCTACACTTTGATCAACATGCGTTACTGGGTTATACTAGTTTTGGAGAAATCCACTCCTCATCAATAGCCCTAAACACAAGTTAAACAAAGAGAGATAAGCTGGACCTATATCATAGAGAAAAGTATCAAAATATCGTTCACACCAACAGTATGTTTGACTGTTTAATAATAATGAAACCAATACTTTTCCATGTTCTAATAGCCCATTTTAATTAATAACAAATCCAAATATTATAAAAAAATTAGCTCCTTATTATAAAAAACGTTTTCTAGGAGTATACAAGAATACCACTATCTATCATGCCCAAAAACATACAACTTTGCTAAAATTTCATTCTTATAACAAGTCCTTACCTGTACAGTGTGTTTTCAGTACATGGATTTATTGCCCGAATAACAATGAAGACATGTTGAAAGTGGGAACGTATGTTCTTTGGTGTAAAATGTAAGGCATCAGGTTCTTGGAAAACAATAGTCACAATATCGTTCCCAATGTGTCTTTTTCGTAGTAACTGCAAAATATCCTTTTTTGTTAAAACTTTGTTTTAGGTACCGTGTTTCAAACAGAAATCTCTTTACACATCATTAAAGAAACCAATTCTCAAACTAAAAGCTACTATGTACTTTATAATTTTTAACATAATGTTATGAGAAATTTGAGTGCCAAAAAAATTTGTTACATGTTTTATCAAAAAATACATGAAAATCAAGTGATTAATAATACTTAGTTCGTACACTTATTCTGGCACGATTACAGTGATAAAGGTATGAGTTTACCCACCTGTTGTCTGTTATTTGGGGTATAAGGTAACATTGTTGATACATGGAACATTATTTCACAATCTTCCAGTCTGGAGTACACAGAGTAGAGGCCTGTAGTGTCCACTGTTACACGAGTATTCAAGATATATCAATATTTTAATTTTTGATTCTCGCAAAATATCTCTTTTAATGAATGAAGGTTTTTTTTGTTCACTATTCCTTTACAGCTTTTTAGAGTGTTTCTACCTATTAATATCTATTAATATAGAAAATTAAACTAGTTTACAAGGCTTTAGTCCTCAGGTTTGCATCTAAAGAAAGAAAAAGTCAAATCATGTGATGTTTTGCAAAATATATTTCATTATTAAACAAAAAGAATAAAGATTAATTTGTCTAAAGTGAAATGACAAACTTTTTCATAAAAACGAAATAATTATCCAATAATGCAGTTGCCAGGAACAGACATAAGTAAGGGTCTAAATACAAATTAATAAGACTGGAAAAATGTAACAATGTTTATGTAAATATGGTTGAGACTGTATCAGAAAAAATCTGAAGTTTAGAGTCTGCTTTAGAATAAAAATATTTACTATGAGGAACAAGAATAGCCAATGTTCACTTATTAAACTTTGAAAACTGAAATAATATTCATCAATAGAAATACAATTGAAATTTAAGATTATGACTACACAACGAAGGAAAAAGAAAAGGATCAGAAATGAAGATAGAAAATGTAAAATAGTGTAGAGGATATATTTCACTTTACACTTGAGTGTCCTACACTTCAAAACAGAAAGCTTAAAATACTTAGTTTTTCTAAAGAGATAAAAATAATGAAGTTATTTAAATTACTCAAGCATCGAAAACTAACATCAAAGATAAAAAATGCACATAGCAAATGAAAATACAGACTCCTTACTATACAGTACTAACTAAATGTATAAACAATTATTTGATGTGCACATGCATAAGAATTTGCTTAAACACAGTTATTTATAATAACAGTAAAAGAAACACAAAAAAAGATAGATTAAATTATTATGTAACTTCTTCTGTTAGCTTATCAGATGATTCTATCACGTGAGATACAGTTTAAGAACATAAATCAAGTACAACTGGAAGACAAAAATAGAAACTACAAGTAAAAATTTAAATAATTAAAGCATAACAGAAAATTTGTTTGTTGGCTACTCAAAGGCTATTTGTACTAGCCATCCCTAATATTGAATTTACAGATTAGACAAAGGGCAGCAAGCAGATCAACAGCACTCAATGCCAACTCTTGAGCTACTCTTGTCTAACGAAATAGTGGGACCTGACCTTCACTTTTATGGCCCACTAACAACCCCAAAGTGTAAAGCATGATTTTGCAGCAACAAGATGCAAACCATGGACCCTTGGATTCACAACCTGGTATAATAGACCCTAAGCTACAGAAAAAAAATTAATAACATTTATTGCAAATAAGTGAGAGATTGACCTTAGGTAAATTTTTTGTTTACTTTTAAGTGAGAATAGCTTGTTTTGGCAGCTCTACTTGCTAAAGTTTTCAAATTGTTTGAATACATTTTCTCTTTCTTTCTACTCAGCTTTAATTTTCTAATGTTTATTAAAAAGTTTAACTCAATAAACACCTTTTCAAAATAACTGATAAACAACACTGAAAGTTACAAGTTTATTGACTTGCCATTCACCTTAGTGCTTACGTAATGTCACCAATAAAAATAAAGTGTGTTGTTTCAGGGACTATAGAAAGGTTTTATTTTGTTTGCCATGAGTAAATTTTGGCAAGTCAACCACAGTAGCAGGATTAAACCATTTCATTAGTTTTATATTACAAACAAGAATCTGAAGCTCTTTACATAGTTATGTTTTGGACACTTAATATAAAGTATTACTTAATCAGGGCATTGGAACTATGATGGATGTTTTATGTGCAAGTAATGCAAAACAAGAAATTCAAACTCAATTACTGTGGAGAAGAGAGTTAGGCTTCATTTTTGCACAATGTAATAGTTAATGATGGTTGACAGACAATAATTTGTACATATTTAAACATCACTGTTTTATCCAACAATGAGTGTAGAATAAAATGAGTTAACAAACTGCACAGTCATAATCGTATGGTCAAGTCTAACCTCCTGTTCCACTTATTCTTTAATCATAAATCATCTCATGATTTAGAATCTGAATAATTAATTCAATACATTCATAATCAATTAATGAGGCTTTTCTATTCAACCCATCTATATATAGAATAAAAAATTTCAAGACAAAATTACCATTCTATTAGAATAAAAGAATGAAACGAAAAATCAGGAATGATGTTGGAATGACATATGGAGGCCAGTACCAAAATGTTAATACTTCACAATTAAATAAAATAATGCTACATTAACAAAATTATGATGTGCATTTTTTTGTAGTGGCATGAACAAATCATAAAAGTAAGTAAGACACATATTTCTTCAGATTTGCCTATTAAAAATATCTGAACACAATATTGTATAAGTACATCTAGCGGTGAAGTATTTATATGAAAAACAATGTACACAAAAATATTTTAACATGGTAATATCACTGAAAACATACTTTTATTATCCAGCCCTGCTCGATACTTTTCAAAGCCTTTTAACCTTACACGCTGACCAATCAGCTCCAAGAATTCTTCTAGTGCTGGTCCAGAAAGTTCTGAAGAAAAAATTTCAACAGTAAATTTTCACAATAATCCTTAATGGTACTTATAACACCTAAAATGGATCTAGTTATCAGTGTAATGATACTGTTATTTATCGATGACACACACACACACATGTATGAACACTTTAAAATTTACAATATTTTTAGCCAATTAATATTCAGATGCTTAAGTGTAGAAATGTAATTCACATGTATTTCCTAAAGGATAAAAAAAAAACCTAAAGAAGGAACCAAGTATCCTCATGCTTAGTTACTTAAAGTTTTCATGGTTTTATTACTTTAGTATATTTGCTATTTGCATTAAAATAAGCAGGGAGACCTAGGGTTTCTAAAAGCTAAAAAAGCATCAGCCTTATTACATATTATATAAAAACACTGAAAAACATAAAAAGCTTCTCCATTTGGAGTTCAGAAACATATTTTTATAATAAGATAGTATATTAAAATGCACTATTAACAAAATACAAACAATGTATCTTCCCAATAAATAAATGATTAAAAGTGGCCTGATTAGAATGCTTTGATCAGAGGAGGATGCTATCCAGGACATCAAAAAAAAATACATTTAAAAAATTTAAATTTAGCATTTTTTTCATAAAATTGGAAAGAAAATACAATATGAATTAGGATACCCATTATCTATAGATGAACCAAACAGTATCTGGTGCTATAAACAAACTTGCCTCACATTATAAGTTCTGGAACTTGTGTGTTCAAATGTAAATATTTTAAATTGATAAACAAAGTTCTAGAATAAATATTCCAAGTTTTAATCACTCAAAAATGAGTAAGAAAAAACACTGAATTAAAAAACAAAAACTTTTGTTTTATTATAAACCACCCATTTCTAATATTCCTAGACAGTCAGTTTTCAGAAAATTAGTCTCTCTTACAAGTAGAATCCAAAACTAAAAGCTTCTTTACTAATACTAGAAAGAAAACTGTATGATTGACTTTAAATTCTACCATTATTGTACATGTCCTCTTCTGTAGATTGTCCAGCTTTACAGTACATCACTCCAACTTTATACCTTTTGGTTACCTAATTTAAAACACATCAAATTATTATTACATGTAAATTACAACAGAGTGATTAAAACCTTAAACTTCCAGTCAAAAATACCCCAATTGTTACCCTGAATTTGATAATTAAATGGATTTGATAATTAAAATAAGTAGTAACAACAGGTATTTAAAATAAATGTTAAAAATGACTATGTAAAAATAGGAACAGTAGACCACATCAAAAATACAGTCAAACCCATCAAAACTAGACATCAATTGAACTTTAACCTAGATAGGGTAACCAAAACTCCAACACATACCTATCATTGCAAGTAAAAATCAAGAAAGGTGTTACTTAAAATGTCTACTAATTAACATAGCTGTAAATATTTCACTAAAAATCATTTCTAGAGAAATTTGAATATTTATTCTTATAGCTTCAAGATGACAAATTTGTAAAATACAATTTAATGGTAATCTAAGAAGTGTATTGGTCAGTGGAGACCTATACAAAGGAGTAACTGCTCATATGCACAAGAGAATGTCAAATGAAGGTGCTTACATGTGCAATAAATATGGGAACAAGGAAACTACATAATATTTACTTCTATTTATGGCTAACAGGCATAGCACGATGACTTTTAGCAGTCATTGCTAATCATGGTTCTCAGAACATTGTAATTACAGCACTGATAGCTAGAGATGGACAATTAGTGGTATTTACTGATCAATTAATTGATAGCCCCATTAACCTTGGTACATATAAGCATAAAAACAAAACATATATATCTGGTAGTAAGTGCTACCAGCCAGTTGCCTCCTCTATAGTCAGCAGTTAAAAATCAGTGACAGAGGCAAACAGCCTTAGTAATTTTGCCATAACAAAGAGCAAGTTAGGTGACAATGGGAATCAAACTCGAGACCCCGAATCAGAAAAGCTGAACAACCTTGAAGTAAACAAATATAATAGCAATATTTTGATTACTATAATAGTTGGAATAATTGGAAACTATAATTTCAATAAGTTGATTTAAATGTAATTTTGATTAATCAATTTAATAGTAATTTTCAATTAATCATTTAATTGTAATTTTGATTAATTGATTAATTTACACAACAGTAATTGATGTATTTGCTGATCATAGGTAATTGATTAAATCACCCATTTGAACCTAGCTATTGGTATTTATTAAATACGATCTAAGAAGGTATATCATGTGTGCAGTGTCATGACTAAAATAATGGATTAAAATCATCACATGAACCAGGCAAAATGAATGAAGCCCCATGTTTATACAGCCTGTACTGAATACGTAAAAAAACCTGGCACCTTTACTTGGTGCAAAACTATATATATTACAGATCTGACCAAATAATTATGTAAACAATAAACGAAAAACTTTTAGCCACGATCTGAAAAACTTAATAACATGAAATTTTTTGTTTTTCAATGATGTTAAATAACATGAACAATTTTTCAGATATGTATATAAAATTGGTTCTTACACAAGCAAAAAAAACCAAATAAGATTTACCACAAACCAAATTCTGATAAGAAGAAAAAAAAAAGTTTGACTTACTCCTTGTTCGTCTAACTTTAGAAGCAGTTCTTCAGTCTGTTGTCCTGGTATAGCAAGCCTCAAACAAGACACTTGTAACTCAGGTGCTACGTATTCAAACACTTCTCGGGCAAAAGACCCTTTAACTGGGTTGGACCGCCCAAGTGAAGGAATGGCTTCTTCTAATACAGTTCCTCGTAGCACCACCAACTACGTGTATGCATTAATTTAAAAAAGTTGATTTAATAATATGGTTCAAAAGCATATTACAAGTTACAATGAATGAAATTAAATGAAACATTTTCTTAAGTGACCCAATGCATTTTTTTTTATTTTTAAAACACCGAAATATACTTCCCATCAACTAAAATATTCAAAAATTTCACTTAAAAGACTTCTACACAAAAATGTAGTAAATAAGGAAATTTCTAAATCCTTTCATTAAGACTCATGCAATATTATGTTTAAAATGAATTATTAACTTGATTAATTACCTATAATCATCAATTACATTGAGTTGTGTCACATAAAACAATCAACTAACTGAAAAAAAAATGTTTCACATTATTTCAATTATCCAAGTAATCAAAATACTGCCATTTTGACTTCTTGTTATTTTTGATTAATTCAATGTTATTCAGCTTAATCAATTAATATCACAATACATGAAACTAATCAATTATTCAAAATTAGTGTTTCCAATTAATATTTTCAATTATTCCGACTATTCAAATCTCATAGGAGAATAGTTGATTAGTTGAATGTAATTAATAAATGAATCTGATGATTAATCAATTAGCAAATTACACTAATCACCCACATTTTACCCCTGACTAAGAATGTACTTTCCACTTCACAAACTTACTTTTTCAGTATAATAATAATACAAACACATTAGGATTTACTAAAAACAGATACTTTTTTTCAGGTTGTATATACCCTGGAATCATGTAGAGCTGGAAGTTATAATTTTACATTATTACTTTGAGGTACAATCTTTCTTAAATGGTTTTAACCTGTTTGAAAAAATAATTCATATCTTGTAAATTAAGGAACCAGATGTATTTCTCTTTCAGTTGTAAATAGTGCATGTAAGTGTGTAGATAATAAACAATCGAAATATGAAACAGACTTTTAAAATATGAACTCTTCAAGTTATATGCATGGGTATATATATATAAATAAACTATTATAACTACTGAGTTGTCTTACATAAACTCAAAGATAAGTTTAGGTAATCCTGAGTAAATAACAGTAGTCTAAACAAAAGTTCTCATTACAAATTTTATTAGTTGCATACTTGTGCTTTAACATTGTATTATTAAGAGGAATCCCAATTCAGCTCTGTAATAATATACAATACCTATGTATTTTTTCCTGATAACTTGCATTACATATAATATTTTCAGTTTTTTAAATCTGAAATGCATAGGTATACTAAAATACCCATAAACTAAAAAACAGAATACAGAAAAATGGTACCTGAAATTCCATTCTGAAAAATTTTGTTTGATAAGCAACTCTCAGTTTTTTGGAATCTCAAGTCTAAAAATTAAGGATGAAAAGGCATTCAAGAATGACAGTCATGAAGGGTGTCCTATGGAAGTGTTTAAACTCAAGAAAATATTCTTCAGTTATCAGGTCATAAAAATTATCATAAGAATTATTTTAATGAGCTAATTAGCATTTTTCGCATTTGTGAGAAAATACCAGAGGTGTTACATACAGTAAAGAATGACTGCAGGGAAGGGTGGATATAACCTCAGAGGTTCATAACAATAAATATATGGAATCCTCTCCCAAAAAACTATTCCTAGCCTTAAGTATTGATTTACTAATCCAAGACTTCAGCAAATTTTAAACTTTGTTGCTTATATTTTTTGTGTTTATTGGTTCATTTCTTTGTGCAAATCTATGCAAAGCCTATCTGCAGTAGCCATCCCAAATTTTGAACTAGTAGACTAGAAGGAAGACAATTTTTCAGCAGCATCCACCACTCTTTGGCTATTCTGACTGAATAGTGGTATTCGACCCTTATAACATACCCTCAGTCCCAATGTGCTAAGGTTTTTTGTTGTTGTTTTTTCTGCAGTGACAAGATGCAAACAACAGACCTGCACATACTGTAGTTTACTTAATATTCGTAGAAATTATCTTCCTTGGTTTTACATTCAAACTTGTTTTGTGGGTTTTAACTTTCGTGGAAAAATGAAATTGAAAATGCATCAATTTGGAAAAAATAGTTTTTATACATCATTCTGTTTTTCTAAGCAACATTTTTCATACTGTAAGCCTTTGCAATCACACTGTGCAACTGAAATAACGTGTTGTAATTCACCTATTCAAACAGGTGTGAACATGATACCAGGGGATGACTGAATGATGGAGAAGAGAGAATTTTGACAGATAAGGATTTCCAGCATCAATGACAAGTAGCAGCTAACAGCCCTACACGCAGTGACCAAAGCCGGAGAGATGTTGCAGCCGCAGTTCATATACATTGGCAAAACAGACTGATGCCATCCAAAGGTTGACTTTCCTAGTGGCTGGAATATCAAGCATACCAAAACACACTGGTCTCTTTGGGTTTCATTTATAACTCATAAAGGCTCTTTATTTCACTGGAACTATCATTCATGAAAATGCACATGCCACCAAAATAGCAAAAGTTAACTCCACGCGAGTAATAAATAATTTACAGTATTCATAGTCTGGCACATTAACCACTTGTCCATATTCAGCCCCAACTAAACTAAAATGAAAAATATCTAGGTGATGTGCTTTTCACTCACCTCACTTGTCCTCACAATCAACCTATATTGGTACATTGCCTGAAATGATGAGCTACTGCCCGACCCATAAGCGAGTCCTGTGTCTTCAACTCTCTCTCTCTTTATGCTAATTGCAACTGGTCCCAGAGTTTCATCCACACCTATCCAATTCTGATGGTCTGAAAAACAGAAATCCCAGAGTTACATTAGGTGATTGATATGAAATCCCCAAAGCTTTTGGGTGTTGCTGCCACATACATTTTCCTTCTTAAATTACACCCTTTGTTTACCATTGTGATATACCTTTAGATATTATATAATACACACATTTCCTATGTTCAAAAAACAGCATTCTCTTCTTAATTTACAATATAATGCTTTCAAAATGTAATTTCCAAAAAAAACATACAAGTGATTATAGTTCATCAGATACTTATAACTCCTTAAGTAAGTATTCTTGGCAATATTTGTAGCATGAAATAGAATCAATAATAGGAAAAAAAGTTTGAATAACACCCTGAATGTACATCTGTCAAATTTTTTAACTTCTTGTGTCTTTAAGCTTTGAACATTTCAGAGCTATTTCAATAGATAAGAATTGATTTTCACTTCAGTAAAAACATTTTTGTGCATTATAGATTTTATAATCAGACAATCAGTAATTCAATTCTCAAAGTACACTGTATCCATTCTGTAAATTGTATTACCATCATAGTTCATCTTAATTTTAACTTTAATATTTGTTTTATAAACTATACTGTAGTGGTTAACATTAACTAGCTTTTGCACACATTGGTTAAAAACACTATAACTACAAAGTCTTCTTCTGAAAAAAAATAATAATAATATTTTTTTACCTACAATTTAAAAATACCATACACAATAACCTTATATTAAAAACAAACTCTTTACATAACTTAATGCTTTCTGGTTATATCAAATTTTTGTGAATTATGTGAAAATATTGTTTTTTAAACAACATATGGTTAAAAATTCTGTTGTAAATTTAAGTATTGTGTTTCAAGCAAATACCATTTTTAATGAAATTATTATTAGTACACAACTTAGATGCATCTATGTAAATGTCTAGTTGTCCCACCAACCATGAGGGCCTGCTCAATTAGTAAGATTGATGCAGAACTAGACACTAAGTATGAAATAAGATAACAAATATTTTGCTCATACTAAATAGCTACATATAAAAATTATAAATCCACTACCATGTCATGTCTCTAATGCTACAAGTCTCAGATTTTACTTTACTGATTGTTAAAGAAGGAATTGGCAAAACTACTGAGCTTCGTTAATTGGTTTGTAAGATTCAGAATTCTCAATCTGCTCATTTTTGAAATGAAGTGCTGAATTAAGTAATTAACAAAAGAAATGTTAAGGTTGGTCCATAAATCTAAATTACTACATAACAGTCCTGCCCAATCTCAATTTTCAATTCTTCACATTACAGTGTACCACTTTTAAGATCTCTGGAATTTCAAATAGAAAAACACTGGCTTCCTTCTAACTGATATAGGCTAAATAAGAAACCACTACATGTTGTTCCTGGGTTAAAATTAATACAATTAATTTATGTTACATAAGCATGAATAATGGAACTTGTCACACTATCTATTCAATTACTCTATTCTTTAATAGGTAGAAGACAGCATGCTTATAGCTTGAACTCATTCATTGCCACATTTATAAGCAACTCTCCCAGTCCCAGATTTATTTTTAGATACATAATAAAAAATAAAGACATATTTTAATATATATATATAATTACTTATCTGAAATTTGAAACTGGTAAACATTGGTAAGTTTGAAGGGGAATAACCTTTCTTGAAAATGGTGTAAAATTCCAAACTTGCATGCGGTTAGTACAATATTTTCCAAGCTTGAAACAAAAGTTATGCAACTTTAACCCAATAATAAAAATTTTATAACAGTGAGTTTGGATTTAAAATGCTTCAGTAAAACTTAAATCTTAGTATAAAGCATTATGAGCAACAACTTACTAAAGAAAGTGGGCATACTTAATAGATATATAACTGAAGAGGCTGTCACATCTAAAATTATCTCAAGTTATATTTTTCAAAACTTTGAATTTTGTACCAGTAAGTTTGTGATGGACACTAACAAGGTATTAACAGCATTTTTTTCAATATATTTTTTATGTAAATTTGATATTACTAGTTGTATTTATTTTTTTTCCAAAAAAAGGGACCGACACAAAATTAACCAGGAAGATAAAAAAACCTTTACCTTGATTATGAAAGAAATTTCTGTAATACATTGCTCCTAAATCTCTGCCATCTAACTGTAAATGTGATCGCTGATATGGACATGTAGGCTGTTTTCCTCTGTGGGCACTAGCATTTTCCAATACAGAAAGTCCACATGCTATGCGAGGTCGGTGTAGTGTTGGTAATGTTTTCCCTACTGATTCTTGCTGCTTTTGTTTTGTTGAAGTTATTCTGTTAAGGCTGACAAGTCTTTCTTCTTCTCCTCCTAATTCATTACGAAAAAAAGGGCAACTGAGAACCAAATTATTGCTTTTATCATCACCAGGATCTGGCTCATCAACAGCCACACCTTCAGTACCATCATTTGGAGCTCTACTAACCAAAGAAGCTGCTGAAGCACCTGTGGTTGTATTTCTTCTTTTGTTTAACAAGTTTCTCAAACATGATGCATAACTTAAATTAGCAGTGATGCTTTGACAGTCATAGTGAGCCAAAGCTTTTTTTCGTAGCTTATCCTCAAATCTACTTTCTGCATCTAGAGAGTTATCTGAACCTTTACTGTTAAATTCAGCAGCAATTTCAGATTTGCCTCGCAACTTTTTAAAAAGAGAGGGCTCACTACCAAGCAACTTTTTTTTTTCAGTTTTCTTGTCTTTAACCTCCCAAAATTTGTGTAATTTAGTTTTTAATCTGGGGCTTTGAGAATCTTCTAAGCTTTCTGGTCCATTAGCTAAAGCATTGGATGCATTCTGTGTAGCTGGTGCTGGGTCAACTTTACCTCTCAAATACTCATGAATTTTGGCAGGTCCTGGACTACGTTGATCAATATGATCAGCCTTGTACTCCTTGAGCATGGCAAAAAAGCTTTGAGTTTCTCCAGTTGTACTTATCACATCAAGAGAAGATGCACTCCCATAATCCCGACGAAGAACACCTGTTCTACTGTCTATATTTTCCTCAATATGTTCAAGGTCTAAACTACTATTACTGCGATATATTCCAACACGACTAGCAGAAGCCATATGACTTGTAACTCCTGAAACATGTTCTCCTGAAGCTCGATTTGTACGCTCACTGTGTGTTCTGTGTGGACGGTCATTACGTGGATAAGGAGGGGGAAGAGGTCTTTCAACACTTTGTGGGGCAGGGTGGCCACTAGAAGGTAGTCTAATGGCAGGTGATCCAAAAGAAGGTGGCATGTTCATTCCATTCACTATACCATTTAAGCGAGTCATACTTCCACTTTTATATAAAGTACCTTCTTGCATGCCACGACGATGAGACTGGGGTACACAATTGTTATAATACTCAATTGTACGTGCTCGCAAAACTTCTGAAGTAAGACCATTTCCAATTGAAGACCCATTGCTTTCTCTTTTTCTAGCAACTTGGGCCATGTTATAGTTTCTACTTCTTGGCTACCTCTGACAAACTGCATAAAAAAGAGCTTGACATACACACAAAAACTTCTGTGATAATACAAAAGTCTTCATGGCATATGTACTAGCTACTAGCAGGAATCACTAAAAACAGCGTGGGGTTGACTGACCATCTGGAAAACAGAAGAAATGGGTGATTTACTAAAGAAAATGACATTTTGAAAAGAATAATTTTCTTTCAAGAAAACTTCTTGGTAGCTTCAAACACGTGCATGCATGCATTACATCCTTATATATTAATGGAAGGTCACAAAGTAACATCACTAAAGACAGGAAACAGAAAATAGGTAAACCACCACTCATGCAATACAACTTCATCTGACTCTACAATCTCTCCCTCTCTAATTATTTAATAAAAGGATCTCTTACCTTTAGAAATGTTAAGATCAAAGAGCAAAGAATGAGTTTTCTTAATTATTGAAAAAGTCCATGAAAACATATGCCATGAAATCATTATCATAATGATTCATGCTATATATTACCACAAGTCTCATAATTTACAAGATTCGGTATCAACTTCAAAATGTTCATTTTTAACAAAATAAAAGTATGGGAATTTGTATACAGTATGTACTTAAGTTACTGTTTATGTTTATTTCCACAAGCTTTACAATGCATTGAGCAATTCGAAATAACCTGTGGTATAAGGTTTTTAAGCTAGTAAAGCAAAAAAAATTTTTTTTTGGTCGGTTAACATTTCAGGATGACAGATATTTCTACAAAAATTAATTTGTGCTTTCTTGATTATTTTTTTGCCACATTGCATCTATTATTAAATACTACACAGTACTACAGGTTTCATTAGTTGTATTGTGATGAATGACAGAACTACAAACACGTTATAGCTACTTTTTGGAAATGAAAATGGAAAAACTTTAACAAAAAATTTATTTAGTCTTTTAAGATTCATAACACAAAAAAATTCACCTGACTTTTAAGAAAACAAATCACAAAAACAAGCATTTCAATAAATATTTCAAGAAGTAAAGGTGAAAAATCCCCGAGCTCCTAGAATATACAATTCTTAGAACATGGTTTTTAGATAAGCCTTACTTACAAAGCCGAAGAGCCCTTAAAATTTCTAATTTTAGCTAGATTTTTGTTCTGAAACATACTGTCTGAATGTATTACAATAAAAAAGAATGCTCATAAACCAGCTCTGATCAGGATTTCAGCATAGGACTTCAGCTCACACATTGTATTAAGATAAATAATTTATGAAGCTCTACAGTTTAGGGCCTAAGCACACAATTATCTACCTTGTAATGACATTCAAGTATCTAAACTTTAATTTAGAGTTTTTGGCTGGCTCAAAGGGTTCAAAAAAATCAAAGAGACACGCATAATATATGACAGGCCTTATAACTATATACTTAATGACATTCTTACACCTAAATGTAATTGTAAGTTATAACAACAGCCTGGAATTCAAACATGAATATTGTGCTCCACATTGAAAATTTTACAAATTAACTTGGTATTATGCCTTAAATTGCCCTTATTAATCTTCTAGTTTGAAATCATAAAACTTCAGTTATCTAGTTCTTAAAAAACATTATTATTTTAAATGAACAATTTTCTTATATAAATGATTTATTAACTCTTACTAAGGTAAAAAATTTAAGAATAACAATCAATAAATAACATCAAGATAATATCTTATGCAAAAGTCACTTTAACTTTAACAGTTCACAAAATAAATATTTAAATACATATAAAAGTACACAGACAGTTACTGAAGTTTTAGTTGTTTTACACAGGAAAAGGGATAAATAATTTTAAAACTATTTGAATATATTTTCTTAAAGAATAAATTTCAACTGCCTTACTTATGAGAAAATATTTTTAATGCCATTATCTTGTTAATGGATAAGCTCCTGCAAGTCTACTTTCTCATTATACTTGTTGTATTCAATTTCCAATTTTTATAGTTTCTGTCATAGTGTTTTCTCTTAATAAAATATGTGACAAAAAAGTTCCACATCCCAATTATTGCTAGACACTTTAAAACTAAAGTAGTCTTGAGTTTTAGCAATGAAAACATTGTCTTGGAATAAGTTCTTTCACAATAATAGAACAAGCAACCAACATGTTAAAAAGCTTATTACAAGTGAACAAACAAAATAATACAATAACAACAATAACCATGATTTGACTAAATAATTTTCTCCGTTTACAAACTTAATAAGGTTCATTGCTGAATGAGACAGCCCAATGGACATTTTCTTTACTTTCAAGAAATTGGGATTTTTTAACTATAGACCTTAAAATTGCATTTAAGTATCTGATATACATTTGCATTTTGTTTAAACTTGTATGCATGTGATGTTCTTACAGAGGTAATGGCTTAAACTTGTTTAGCAATACAAACAACAAAGCATAAATTTCTTGAATTTGATAAAATAAAAACTTGATAGACAATGAAAGTACTGAAAAAGTAACCTTTATATTCAGTGGTATCACTCAGAGATAGAGAACAAAGCTCCAAAAATCAGCTCAAAATATTTGCAAACTATGGTTAATTTTAATGTCAGACAATGATTACTGGTGTAAAAATAATTAGTTTTTTTTTTAGAAAAAACTGTTCATTCAGGGGAGGGGAGGCAGAAGAAAAATGTTTTACAAAGTATAATTGTAGCTGATATCTAATAAAAACAAGTAAATTTTGCAAAAATACAATATTGAAAATCTGTTTTGGTTGAACTCTAATGAATGCTATGCTAAAGCATTAGTAAGTATAAATTTCTAATTACTGAATTATGAAGTTCTAACACATACCATGTAACAAATAATAAATAGCATTCCGTTTCTAAGGGTTATCTAACGTTGAATTACAGCGTGAATGTTGTAAATTTGTAATGTTAGGTATAACGCTAAGTTTTTTCAATCAAACGATTGATTCAAAGTGAGGTTTATATTTGGTAAAAATTTACAATTATACAGTAAAATTGTGTACGTAAGTGATAAGTGACTTATATAACATAAATCAACAGTCGTTTACTCCTTAAGACGGTACAAGTTTTCGCAGATATCCTAGGCCTGTTAGAAAATTCATGTTTTTAGTTGGTCTTCATTATAAAATTAAATCGTAATTCAAAATAGCCTAACAGTAACATTACGTTTAAGTTACACCTTAGGTATTCACCGTATATTAGCTAAACTTCATAATCTTGCCTAAATCAAGACATAATGTACCTAAGAAACAAATCACCTGACAAAATAGTAGCGTACCAGCACACCTGCTTCAACCCTACCATTACTAACGTTCAACATACCGAAACAGTGATAATATTATCCAACTTACCTATTACTATTGGCTGTTCAAGTACTTCATGATGATACAATCACTAAAAAACAGTTTATCGCTTAAGTCTATCTGTTATCTCATGTAACAACATAAACTGGCACAATCAAATAAACTGTAGACAACATACAAGTAAATTTTACACATATAACTACTAAAACCGCCAGAAACTCGAATACTATACAGGTAGGACTATATCAAAAGTACGTAATTTCCTATCACGTGACACAGGTAAGTTAGCCACGCAACTACCTAACTTTCAAAGCACAATCCCACCAGATTCGATGGCGCAATGCATGTTGGGATGTTTAACAGAACGACAAAGACCTGCTAACCTCGCTTATCCACTTTCCAGACAACACCCTCTCTATTTCTCTCTCTCCTTCGCTCGTACCGGTACCTAAGCTCTTAACTACTCAGCTGCTGTGACCGCCTTGACCTCCACGTTTAGCTAGACAGTAATGTAACTGGACTCCAAATTGTAGTTATCCAACTTTTTACTGTCTGATGAGATAGGTTTACACCACTTGTGCGCTGAATTACGCGCCTATAGTTATATCCGAGTGCAAAGTAGCAATACAATAACAAACATGACCCTTACTCTGAAGTTGAATTCGTAAGATTTGGAAGGCAATACTTTTTAGCACCTGTTATTTTTCACCCAACTAAATGCAACTACATCATTATCGTAATCTATGTGAATTAAAAATCTGTTAAATTACATTTTCAGTTTAACATATTTTAATTACATAAGTTTAGTTGTTTGTTTATTTTTTATTAATATGTAAGTACCAGTGCTTGATATACCTTTTACTATGTCTCTCTTCTGCGAACGAACAGGAAATTCTAAACACAGGAATCACTGAATTGTGACCAGAAGCGTCGCTAGGTGCCTAAAAGATTCGGGGCGCGGGCCCATAGGCGCTGGAACTTAAAGCGTTCCAGTATGATATGGATCATTAAGGGTATGTTAATTAAAACTGCGGAAAATGGACAAAATGTAACATCTGTGAGTAATGCAACAACAACATAAAAAAATATTATTACCTAGGATTCAGTAAGAGGGCAAACAATATAACAATTCCTGAGAGGGAGGAAGAGGTCTACGTTGATCCTGACCCTCCCTGGTCCAAAACATGGACCGAGTCCCGATGAAGATGGTTTCATGGTTTTCTATTCTGATTTTTCAAGACACCAACTGGGGATTCGGGGCACTGTCAAACAGAATTGGAGCACGGGACCCTTGTGCCAGTGCCTAATTGTGACTGTGATTTTTTTATGTTTGCAACTATCACCAAAATTTTAATTGGTTGAACTTTATATGTGAAACGCTAGTGTCGATGCTCAAAATCTGATTAATATTTATTTACAATAATAATTAGTATTCCTTATCGGTCAGTTGTATCTGATTCTTAAGAGAGTGAGTACTCAACCGCAAGATTAGGTAAAACTCCTTAAGTTTTATCCATAAGGTTGTAAGCAGATATTATAAATGTTGAATTTATGTCGTACATAGTCATTGTAATCTAATGCCTGTATTTTAAGTAGAAAAACGAGTAAATAAATAACTTTTCGAAAAAGGAAGTAAATGCCATCCCTGCTATCTTATTTGCATTTTTTTTTGAAGGAATGATATTAGCCATCCCTTCATTTACTTCCTTTTTAAAAAAAAGTTTTTCTTTACTTGTCTGCTTGTTGTTGTTATTTTAATGCAGTATTTCAATAGATTTGGAATTTTGTATTTATAACCAAGTTCTAAATACAATGAGGTTCCAAC